TGCTATTGAGCACTGTTTGTGTTTCGTAAACCAAAATCTTAAGCTATATATATATATATATATATATATATATATATATATATATATATATATATATATATATATATATATATATATATATATCCTTCGTGTTTAATTTTCATGCTTTTAAGCATGAAAAAAATACCTATACCAAGAAAAATACCTATACCGAACATTTCACGTTGTTTAGACGGTTAGCTCGTAAATTGCCTTGAATTTGCTACTTGTAATAACGCTCCTTTTCTCATGCTTTGAAAACTCGGCAAACACTAACGAAACCTTCCTATTTGCTATACTTGACTGTCTTACAAGAAATAAATAAAGAATGTTTGTATATATCTAGTTTAAAAAATCGCATGTGAGCATCGATGAGACGTACGCCAACTTAGTTGTAGAACGACATTCGTGCAGAATTTTAACCCCGAGTGGGCATCTCTACAGAAAGGTTATGCTGGCTACTTGCATCCCATCCCAAATTAGTTGCTATTAGCCTGCACCGTCTCGGTGTCCCGACAATTATAACAAACAGATACAATATGCACATATTTTACCTCTGATATCTTCTAAGTGTTTAACACAAATTCCTTCTATATCTCCTCCACCAGGCAATACACATTGATCTTCAATAGCATTCCGTAAACGATGGACACAATTCCAAAATTTCAGTTCACTATCATTCACCAAATCTTGTAATGGACCACACAACGCAACAGAATATACGACAGAAGTCAATTTCTGAAATTGTTCATCAGACCAAAGGCTGATTTGACCAAACATGAATGTTTGAACTACGTCGGATTTTGCTGAATGTTTACCAGAAGACCAACCGCTGTCCCAAATTCTTACAACAACTGGCTTTCCAAGATCATATGCAGTTAAATCCAAAATGTAAGGAACTATCGACGTTTCTGTCATTTTTGAGAGAACATCGAGCTGGTGGTTGCTTAAATTTTCAAGCACAACCACATCCAAGGCTTGCAAATGATCTCGAAGTACACTTGTTATTTGACCATGTACTGCAACAACGCCTAAATGTAAACCTTTTACCAGAGACATCACACGATCCATCCACTTGCTTTGGGCATTCAAATTTGAGTTGCAGAAATCATCTTTGTTTAAAGTTTGGGTTACTTGTACAGAATCGTTAAACCCAGGGTGTCGGTAATTGTAAGAGATATCACCCTGAACCAAAGCAATTCGCCTTGGGATGTCAATATCACATGCTACTATGCATTGGTTTTCTTTAGAAAGTTCTACCACAGCACCTTCCAGTACACAGGAGTTACACACGGGCGGTCCTAAAACAGTCTGGACACTAATAAGATCCAACTGAATCGAGAATTCGTGACGGGCCATTTCTGAAGATGTAAATTGCTTTTTAAGAATTTCCAGTGCTAGCGACATTTCATTTTCTTTTCCATGGGCTAAACTACGACCTAAAAAATTAAGCCAATAATCGTCCCTTCGGCACGCAACTAGATAACTAGTCTCAGTTTCGTCGTTACGTGGTTCGTGATTGATGTCAAAAGAACTCTGTACCACCTGATGCTCATAATTCCCTTTAGATACCATTGAATTGCTTCTATTGCCAACCTTATTACAACCACCGCCCAAAACTCTGTTTATGTCACTACATTTAGTGTTACAATCCTGAGTCTGTGACAGTGTAGATGGTTCAAGTGTCGACTGACCTGTAAGATGACGACTTCTAAGAAGTACATTCTTCACATCCATTATCTTAGGAATCTTTTTACTCGCAAATACTTCGTTTCTACTATCTCTGTGAATAGACAGTTTCTCCGACATACACCGCAGTTCAGAATCATTCTTACTTAAATCCGAATTATGATTCCCTGAAAACTTTAAGTTAGCGTTTTTTTGTTTTAAACTCAATCCACATCCGTCAGATATAGAAGCACAATTTAAAAGAGAGTCATTGTTTAATTCTAAATTACTCTTTCCAAAGTTTCTCTCACCAAGCAAAGGACTCGGTTTCTTCCTTGCCAATGCTTTCACTATATTATCATTGTAAGGCTTGATAGAACTTGTAGGTGTCGAAAAAGGCCTTCCAACATTTCTTGGTGTTCCTTCACTTACGGTAAGTCCATCAAAACAACAATCGAATTCGTCCTCCATAACAGCTTTTTGGGTGTCTTTGCATGAAGACGTACGGTCAACAGAAGGATACTTTGATAATGAATATGTAGAAGATAGGTGCAATTGCCAGTTGCTTTTTGTTGTGTTGCCATGTGGTAAAAATTCAGTTTTGTGAAAAGATTGATTCGTTCTCGAAGACACATGATTTTCAGTTACACTGGCCGTTAACAATCCAACATTATTTACCGTACTGTCTTTAATGTAAGCGGTGTTTTCGTCACAAAACTCTCCAGAGTATTCAGCGTATTCATCAAAAACGTGGCATGTTGATTTAAGTGAGTCTTGAAAACGAACCTTTTGGTGAAACATTGGGTCATCTACACCAATATCTTGAACAGTTCTCAGTGAAATGCACGATCGTTGTAAAATGTTTTCCAACTCGTCCGCGATTTCGTTCAGTACACCCACAATGACTGTAGTAGGAACACCCTATAATGCATATAACAATGTTACTTGCAAATATTATACCTCAAGTTAAAAGTGTCCAATCAGAAACCTAAGTTTGCGCCACGTGAGCATGAAATTGATCATCGAATCGCGCTTTACGTCTTCGTGTTTGACGATAATAAAATAAAACATCGTATTCACAAATGTATGTGGCAAGTTTTATATTCTCAACTTGGAGGCTTTTAATTTTCGGTAAAATATATCATTTATAGACGCTCAGGGCATTCGCGTAATATTTCGCCCAATCCCCCCTCGCTCCAGGTCTATATAAATGATAAATGTTATGTGAAATGTTACGAATAGTGCAGCAATGGTGCTTGAATCTGCAGGTGTTAAGAATATTTCATATTAGGCACAAGCACCAGTTTTTGGTAATTTAAAGGTACGTTTACACGCTGCGATTTGTCGGGCCGATTTTGCTCGCTGTATGTATACAACCTGTCGTGAGTACTCGCGTCAGCACATTGCGATTCACAAAATCGGGAGAAAAATCTGTAACAAAACCACAGATTTTCTCACGATTCAACGATTTTTCTTCCGTTGTAAAGTTGTTGAAAACTTTTCGCACGCAGAAAACTATAATATGAACAGACGAGAGAGCGGACATCTTCAATTGAACGTTTAAATCGCTAAATGTCGAAGAAGGGACATCAAATAGGGATTTTTTCAAAATCGGCCCGACAAATCGCAGCGTGTAAACGTAGCTTAATACTCAACAGTAGTCAAATTTCAGTTAATCAACGGCAAAATGAATTGTTGAAAAAGTGATGTGTACTACCATTCGGCAGAACCCAAAATCATTGATCAACATAATTTAATACGTATCCATTAATGCATGTAAGAAAGCTGCAGGTTGAATGGGATATACAACTACCTGAAAAATACAAGCAGAACTTCGACGTTTCCAGCGAAGGCCTTCGTCGGGAAGTTACACAGTCCCTTATCAGCGACAGTGCACAGTAACATCATTTCAAGGGACCAAACCAATCAGGAAATTTCAACTACACGTTGTTTTTTTTCTGTGTTGGTGTAATGTACTCATGCAGGTGAATATGATTCTTGTGATGTTACTCTGAGTGTATATCCACACCGGGCAAGCTTGAAAAATATGCCTGACCACGGTGGAAATTCGATTCCCACCGTGGTCAGGCATATTTTTCAAGCTTGCCCGATGTGGATATATACTCAGAGTAACATCACAAACATTACACGTTGGGTTATTTTCAATCCGGTTGCCAACGTGTGAAAAAGTGGAAATCTACAGTATGCATATCACAGATTGTTAATGCAAGAGTTGTTGTAGCAAAATGTCCGTTGGCAAAATGTCTTTCGGCAAAGTGTCTTTCGGAAAAATGTCCGGCAACTACATCAACATTATTTTAAATGAATCGCGAAGAAATATTTGGTAACTTGTAATAAAATTGTGTAAGATAGACCGAGATCATTGATAACTTAAGTTCACTTAGGGAAATTACAGCCAAATAAATATTACAGACGTATTTTTATCTTGTAAACATATGTACGCTTCATTTTAGTACAAAAAATTTACAATTCTTACAAATTACAATAATAGGTTAGGTTAATCAACGAACTGCATTATAATATTTAACGTAAATTAAGATAAGTTTAAACGTCAGTTCTATGACGTAATTTAATAAATTGTTATGAGAACGCATTACTTAATGAACCTATTCCCTAATGGACCTATTCCCTAATGAACAAAATTGTCATCTAGACAAGTCCAGACAAAAATGTTATCACGGCTTCAAAGAGCATCACAAAATTAGTAATATTCCGAAGTTTCGTTGTGAAATGTTGTAAAAAGCGGATAATATAGCCCCTCGAAGTTTGCCGTTTTTCAGTTATTTTGTATTACGCACGGGAAATGGATACCTTTTTTCAGAAAGCGGTATCAATTTCCAGCGTGTAAGGGATCGGTCATTATCAGGGCGCTTATATATAGGATGTTATAGGGTTTGTAATCCAAGTGAGAATATATACATTTTAAGACCTAACCAGGAACGACTGCGAAAAATGCAGCACAAGGCCCTCTGGTAGGAACTGAACCCACGGCCCTGCGATTCCGGTGCAGCGCTCTATAACCAACTGAGCTACAAAGGCCAGCTGTTGAGCATTAACCGTAAGTTCATATATATATAGGTAATCGGGTGTGCGGGTTGTGATAAGGTGACTTGAATAACTTAGATTTTTGCGCTTCATTTGGTGGAATTATTAGGATGTTAGGGTTTGTAATCCAAGTGAGAATAATATTTATATACATTTTAAGACCTAACCAGGAACGACTGCGAAAAATGCAGCACAAGGTCCTCTGGTAGGAATTTAACCCACAGCCCTGCGATTCCGGTGCAGCGCTCTAACAAACTGAGCTACAGAGAACAGCTGTTGAGCTGTAACCGTAAGTTCATGTATATATATATATATATATATATATATATATATATATATATATATATATATATATATATATATATATATATATATATATATATATATATATATATATATATATACTATATATATATATATATATATATATATATATATATATATATATATATATATATATATATATATATATATATATATATATATATATATATATATAGATAGATAGATAGATAGATAGATAGGTAATCGGGTGTGCGGGTTGTGTTAAGGTGGACTTGAATAACTTAGATTCTTGCACTTCACTTGGTGGAATTAATATTAGGATGTTAGGGTTTGTAATACAAGTGAAAATATATACATTTTAAGACATAACCAGGAACGACTGCGAAAAATGCAGCACAAGGCCCTCTGGTAGGAATTGAACCCACGGCCCTGCACGCTCTAACCAACTGAGCTACAGAGGCCAGCTGTTGAGCTGTAACCGTAAGTTCATGTATATATAGGTAACATGAACTTACGGTTACAGCTCAACAGCTGGCCTCTGTAGCTCAGTTGCTTAAATACAGGGCGGTGAAACGCGCTGATCGATGTGTGATGCGGAAAAGGACTGGCACGAGCGTGCTTTTCGGCAAAAGTTGACAAGAAGCGTAATTTTTCATGCTGTATTATTTTCGCTGTTTTTTCATTACGAAATTCTTGAGGATGTTTTTGCACTGTAACGACGAAGTAGTAACTAGTGTATCGTACGAATGCTTGTTTGGCCTGTATAGTTGAATTTTGAAAGAAATATTGAGGATAATGAGTCGGGCTTTTGATGACTTGAATGAAGGGAAATTTTCAAAACAGCATTTGGGCATGTTATCAATTCGTCCAAACTTCGAAATACAGTTGATGGTAAAGATTATAATTATGTGCTTATCTCCAAAAGTTTTCATAAGACTCGGAGTTGAGCAATTGAATATACAGCGTTGGAAAGTGAAGTATTTTTGTGTGTTAAATTTTGCCTCGTTAGACCATTATTTCGCTGCAAAAAAAAACCCAACAATTGTATTTTGGCCATGTCATGATTTTTTGTTATTATGTTAATAATTTTGTACGACTTTTAAGCATTCAATTGAAGTAATTCTGAGCCGTAAACATATTTTACTTCTTGGCCTTTGAATCAAAATACGACTCGCTCGGACGTTTGTTGAGCGAAATAGTCGAAAAAGTTTCGTCCCAACTTTGATCTTTCTGACCGGCTGGCCAAGACAACTTCTCGTAAGGATTCGTTAAAAAATACAAATTCAAGTTAAGCATTTCTTGATTTTCAACTGAAAAGATCAACTAGTGGCTAAAATAAATTGTGAATTGTATTCTATCGAACGCGAACGGTACGTGTACATATACGAAGAGTTTTAAAAACCTTTAACGTTACGCTTCTTCCGAAAGTAACCGTTCGTAAGTTTTCGCAAGCGTTTTGAGCAAAAACTCTAAAATATTGGCAGTATTACCTGAAAATACAATAGCAGAATCCACTACATTATCGTATAACATCGGAATTTTACCCCCAATATCTATTTCTTCATCAAAACTTGACTACAAAACAGTCAAAATTTCCAGCTCAGTTTTCCCGCCATATTTATCCTTGCCATAAGACAACGTCGCCATAGTAAACACAACAAACTCGTTACCAGTTCATTGCATCACACATCGATCGACGAGCCTATAGCCGTTTCACTGCCCTATATAAAAGCGCCCTGGTCATAATGTATGGCGGGGGGGGAGGGGGGCACCGAAGAGAAAATGGTTGGGTAAACGAAGTTTTGAGTAAGTAAAAGGTTGGGTAAATGAAAAATAAAACAACTCAAGGGTTGGGTAATAAAAATTGATTGTCACTTCCAAAGCATGACTCACTAAAATATTGGTGACTATAAAAAGCACTGTCGGCAGTCATAAGTCAATACAATATGTGAATCAATCACAATCATATCTTGATCATTTTTTTCCGATTTGTAGGAAGACAAATGGTGTCTTCAAAGAACGTACATGTGCAGACAACATGAAACTTTAGACTGCAGAAGATTTCTCACAATCCGTTATCAAACTCCTGTCACAGATTAAGTAGTAAAGAACATGTGTGACAACTGAATGGTATCTTTTTGTAAAGTTTTTGGCCAGGGGCGGCGGGTATTTATTTTTCAATTGATACTTGAGGTTGGGTAATCATTTTTTGTTACTTTTTGAATGGTTGGGTCAGCAAAATTTTTGCCACGAAATACATTTCTTTTCGGTGCCACCCTCCACCATAAATAATGACCGGTCCCTAATACAAAATGACTGAAAAACGGCAAACTTCCCAGTGCTATAACTAGAAGTTACTATCGCAAGGAAAGTGCTGCCTCACCACCAAAGTCCTGGGGATTGATTATACCAGTAAACTTCATTTACTTAAATTGCCTTATACACACTGCATGTATGAATTTATTTTGTTTAAGAAATATCGAAATTACAACATGCAATAATTACTATATATACTATAAAGTGTACTTCGGATTTTCATATTTAAATGTATGCTCGTGATTGTTGGTACCAATGTTTTAAACCATCTTCACTTGTCAAAACGTCTAGAAGAACACAATTAGGAATATACACGATATGTCTTTTAACGTGATATGACCAGTTTGTTGCAAGTTTTGATATTCTTTCTTTCCAAGGTAATGATAGTCCATACAGTATATTCCATTTGGTAAACCAGTCTTATACTATTCGTTTTTTGTCCAATATATAAATATTTCGTCGACTTTGTGTATTCCAACAAGTTATCAACAACAGAAATGGTAAAGAGCATTTCAGCTTGTAATGAGTTAGCCAATGAACAACTCATCTCGTTAAAAGCACAAGTTGTGCAAATTACCGGTGTGAAAAGGATTCATACTCAGCATCAAGGTATGTTAAAGAAGCAAGAAGTCATCCTGAGAGATACAACCAGCTGTATAAAAGCAGTACTTTGGGGTTCCTATGTGGATACTTTGAGAGAAAATACCACCTATGTTTTTAAAAACTTGAAACTAAGAATATACAGGGGTGAAAAATACTTAAACACACCCAAAAGTGACGAATTTGAAGCGACAGAAACCACTCCATTTGACCAAGAGCTAGTTGATATTGATCTCAACCTACAGTTAACATCTGCAACAATAACTGGAAAAGTTATTGGGGTACAAGAAATTGCAAAAACTGTTTCCTGTCCCAGTTGCAAGAAGAATGTTGTCGCTCTTGCAGATGATGACCTTTTTGGAGAATGTCAGGGACAGGGTTGCAAAGCACTGCTTATGTTAGATGCGTGTGACACCCAGTTAAGCATTCGCCTTTTAGTGCAAAGTATAACGGATCCGTCAGAAAAGAAGCGGCTTGTCTTTTACAACCAAGACGTGCAGCAACTAAAAGAAACCTTGGACCTATTGCTATTTTGACAGCTGCCAAAGAAATTAAAGCTGAGTACGATTCATTGACGAGCAAAGTTAATGATGTAGCTCTTGCGTAGACTTTGGGAAGCACTAACATTTATAGTACCGTACTTTATTATCTATCTTAAATATTGATGTTTTCTGTTGTTGGGGTTGGGTAGCTTTTCAGACTTTTGTGAATTACTAGATTTAGAAGAATGCACTTTTATAGTGGTTTATCTTAAATTTTAATGTTGGTGTGTTCTGTTGGGGTTGGATAGACTTTTCAGACTTTTGCAAAGTACTACATTTAGAAGAACAGATTTTTAATAACTTTTAATAAATACTTTTAATATTGATGTTTTGTTGGGGTTGGGTAAAAAAAAACTCGACACATAATAAAAATCTTGTTGTGTAAATTTATGCTCTATTTGTGGTATACATTTTTAATAAACATATTTTACCTGTTCTATAAATATATTTTAAATTAAAGAGGTCAAAATATTGCCAGAACTAAAACTTTCATGATCCTCCCCCCCAATTACTCCTCAAACTCTGGTAACCCCCTCCCAAAAAAAAACAACCTATGATTTCACCACCCCACCCAAAGCCCTATATCTATTCTGTGCCCAAAGCATAAAAAATGACACTCCCTTAATTAATGCATATTTATGCAATGAATTTCCATAATACGGCAGACATGATGGTGTCTCCAAAGTCCAAAACAACTGTGAAGCACATTACACAATGATTGTATTTTAAATTAAAGAGGTCAAAATATTGCCAAACCAACCATAAATCATGACACTCTTATTTAATAAATATTTATCCAGTGAATTTCCATAATACAGCAGAGAAACATGATGGTATCTCCAAAGTCCAAAACAACCGTGAAGCACTAATCACAATGATTGTATAAAAACCTGTATCTATCCGCACTACTGTATACACAAAGGCATACACACATTTGAGTGCACCACAACTCCACAACACCCTCCACAGCACCAGGGAATATTACAATGGCAAGGTCCCTCGCCTTGGCACATCGCCATTCGCCACACAAATAAATAAACTAAAAGTACATCTTGACTCCTTGTATAAATATAAAGACAATCAGTGGGCTTATTAGAACTGCAAATTCATGAAATCATATTGGTTTCAATACCTCTGTATCGAACACTAAACAGCAAATCTAATGAAATCATATTGGTTTCAATACTTCTATATCGAACACTAAACAGCAAATCTATTAAACATAAATGCCTCCTTGGCACATCGCCATTCGCCACACAAATACATAAACTAAAAGTACATCTTGACTCCTTGTATAAATATAAAGACAATCAGTGGGCTTATTAGAACTGCAAATTCATGGTTTCAATACCTCTATATCGAACACTAAACAGCAAATCTAAATATAAATGCCTTCATGTATATCACCAGAATTCAGAAAGAAATAAAGCTATATCCTTACCGGAATTATTCAAAGTATTGTCGATCGTGAAAATCCAACATACTGCATGTAAATATTAAACCTCGTATTATTAAAACTGTAATCCTGAGAAGAATCATGCGAGCGCAATACAAAATAAATAAAATTGAGTCAAATCGAATAAAAACAAAGAGTCGTCGAATATAAAGACGATCAGTGGGCTATTTAATAGAACTGCAAATTATGAAATCATGTTGGTTTCAAATATACCTCTATATCGAACAGTTAAAAACAGCAAATCTAAATATAAATGCGTTCATCTACCCTTACCTGAATTATTGAAAATATTGTCGATCCTTTGCATCGCTAAAATCAACATACTGCATATAAATAAGCTCGTACTAAACTGTATTAAATCCTGAGAAGAATCATGCGAGCGCATACAAATCAAAATCGAATAAAAACAAAGAGTCGTCGAATGCTGGAGTTGACGACAATTTCCGAAAAATCTTGACATCCGAGGGACTGACATGGATTGAGCATGTTTCCCCAATATAACTCGGCCGGGGACTGCGCACGAAAAAGCAAGAAACGTCAAGAATAGGGAGCTGCCTCGCTACGCTCGGCAGCAATTATATTATCCACATTTTCACAACGGAACTTCTGAATATTACTAATTTAATTGTGATGCTCTTCCAAGCTGTGGTAAAATGTTTGTCTAGACTTGTCTAGATCAAAATTTTGTTCATTAGGGAATAAGTCCATTTGGAATCATGAATTTTTGAGAATGTTTTTCATGTTGCCCGAATATGTTTTGTCAACGAATGTAGGTATATAGTACTAAATCATTAGCCAACTCGCAGTAGTACGCCATACAGTAATATTGGGCGTACCTCAGCTACCTACAGTACAATACGTACGCGAATTATCGAACCATGATATACACACCATATCTGCGAGATCTTGCAAGGCCCCAGCCCAATATCCAATCACACATGCTAGCGTTGTAGATCCACATCCAAACTCTTTCTGAAAACTCTGACAAGCGCTGTTGATAATAAAACCAACAGGATGCTAAAAAATCATATATTAAATAGAATACTGAATAAATATGATTCGAAAAAGTAATTATTGCTGGAGTTTGAGGGAGGTTCATGCAGGAGCGCACCTCTCCTGAGATCGTTTTCATTTCTACCAAGATTCTACACCTCCCACGAAAATTCATGCACCTCCCGCTGAGAAAGGTCAAATGATGGATCAAAGTCAAAATATGACACAAAAGAACAGTCCATTGTATTTCGAGTTACCCTAAAACTTTGTAAAAATTGCTCTTCTATAATTGACAAAATGATAGTCCGGCATTCATCTGTGTATGTGGCAATAGACCTCTTTAAAAAGTCTGCCTTGTGACGTAACTTGCGGATAAAGGAAAACCCCGCACAGCCATTTGGCTTATCTGATTGGCCAAATGATCGAATTTATCCGCAAACTACGTCACAAGGCAGACTTTTTCAGACTTTTTAAAAAGGTCTATTGCTCTTTTAGTGCAATGTTTCGATAGACGTTGTATAGTATTGTTACAACGAAGGAGAAACTGGATCAGAAATAATAGTCATAAAAACATCCATACGTACGGATGTACATTACAACCATGCAGTTATATTATAATTGATTTCTGCTTGGCGACCACGTTCTAAACCATACTGCAAATCCTAAACAGCTGGGGCCCACCCAGACCTCTGCACATCCTCTAAAATTTTTCCAAATCCCAAGTTTTACACTAAAATCAGATTTTGATTTCAATTCATTCATGTTTGAGCAAAACAAGTCAATTAATAAATTACCTGAATATCAATAGTTTCAAGGATTTTAGGTGTGCTGGCAGTTAAAATTGAGATTCCTGATGACTCACAGCATTTCAAACTAAGAAAGTAACATTGTTTGAATATTAGTTGACCAAAATGTAAATTAAATTTAAATAGAAATTGATCAAAATAAAAGTGTAAGTATAGCGAAGAAAGGCGGTTATTGCAGAAGACCTAGCCTTAGTTTTTCCAGTAGCGCTAGTTTTTACCATATGTTTAAATGAGAAAAATTAGCCCTTTCTCAGGGACTGATACATGTTAAATGACTTCCGTACACTGCACTTTCGTTAGTCACAAAACACAAAATTATATTTTGCTGAGCAAGTTTTTGAATATTGAATATTGTTCCAAAGACAAGTGCTTGAATCCCAAAAGACTTACAACAGGCGAGCTTCGCACGAATAAGCCATGTTACACGATGCAATTTCTCTTGCAACTTGCAAGCAACACAATTTTTTGAGAAAAGAATGTTGCAAGTTGCGGTAACATGCGAGTAAAACTTCTTTTGCAAGCTGCAGTGAGATTCTTTTATTCCTCCACATCAATTCAACGGCATTCACCAAATATTTATCCTGCATGAGCGCAGACATGCATGGATGTGATTTGTTAATAATTCAAATATTGCGAGGCAAGTTGCAGTTGGAGGTGCATATTAAGGCCGATTTACGATTGGATGTGAATGAGTAGATGAGTTATGAATGTTCTCAGTATATGTATACACTCTCATCCAGTGAACTCTATAAATATAGTTAAATACTGGAACGATGACTCCGCGTAAACCGTCCTATGATTGGGTGAAGTGAAGATGGCGACCTGTAAGGGTGTCTAAAAAAAACGCTACGGAAATTCAACAGACTGTTGTGCATCACAAACTTAACTAACCAGTTTAATTTTTACATAGGAAGAGAGAGCTATTATTTAGCTTTTCTATGATACCTTTCTTAAACCGTAACGATGGAAAATGGCCACATACTCGTCAAATAAAAATTGTCGGTCGAAATCACATTCTTCTACCGTTGGGAATTGAAAGTACATTATTAATTATGCAAAGTTAATCAATCCAAAAGCAACACAAGCCTTCTGCAAGGTACTTGTTTCGTAAAACGTTTTGATTACGAATGTTCTCTGTTCACTGGTTAATGGACCATGTTTAATGCAATAATGGACGTTCTTATGGTCTCACTGAGACAAAGATGGACGAGTTGAGCTTATTTTAGATAATTTAACATTCAATTTTAATTCCCTCTTGGGAATTGTTTATTGTTCGTTTTCCTTGCAACTCCCAACGGTGGAAGAATGTGATTTCGAACGGCAATTTTATTTGGCGAGTATGTGGTCATTTCTCCTCGTTACGATTTAAAAAGAGTATCATTGAAAAGCTAAATAACTGTTCTTTCGTCCTATGTAAAAATTGAATTGTTTAGCCACGTTTATGATGCACAGCCTGTTGAATTTCCGTAGCGTTTTTTTTAGACACCCTGTAGAGTGCTCTCTTGCAAGTATATGAACACGCGTATTTTTCGCGTGGGCTTCCCGGGAGCTGAAAAATGATGTGTTTGCACATATATGCTCATTTTAATGGTAAATACCCAACCTAAAAGATAAAAACTAAATGAAAAGGTAAGATGTTGCAACTATAGTCCATATTATTCTGTGTTCAGTTCAAATTCCTCATAAACAGTCCTGAAACAAACGTTTGTTAGCGTTTCTTCGCGGAGGCTTTTCACTCGTCAAATAACTTTGCCGTTTATGATGACGTGCTTTTAAAATTCGCAGCACAAATTGCAAGTGTAAACGGGCCTTAAAGGGCCATTATTAGACGCCGTAAATTGCCGCGCAGCATTGCAAAATGTATAGAAGCAGGTTCAATTTTCCCTACAACTTCCAATGCTATTTTTCATTGCATTGCTAGTGAAGAGCCGTTTTACAACGCAATATATCAAGTTGCAAGAAAACTGTATTGTATTTAGCCGTACACGAGTAATTTCTAACCCTCCTAGGTGAGGTCTTGGATAGTCACGCATTAGCGAGATCAGTCCTATCTTAGGAAGGTTGACCTCCTCTTGTATAAACAAAAACATTTTCGAATGTAGAGATTTTAGAGAGCATGCAAAGTCTCCCCTAGGAGCACACACTAATTAATTTCCTTACCTTTTCCCATTGCCAAGTAATGTCTCAATTGAAGATGCTATATAAAATTGCATAAATAATCAGAGTTCAAAATGATGGTGAAAACTTGGTCTGACAATACTACAAAACGTTACACACAAAGGATCACCGAAGCCCGGCATAAAACGTTCTCCGATACCTATCGCGTTTTCGCATCCTAGAGTGGTTTTTGCGTAGCCCAACTCACTATCTACGGCGATATATATAATTTTGTTTTGAGGTATTTTCTGAATTAACAACGCGCTCTTTATAAAACTGTCATAATTTGTTTCCCTCTTACGTAATTTAAATCCACCTTCGACTAATCTCGTTTTAGCTTTCAAATATAACAATTAACGTATAAATTTGCGCAACATTTTCGCTTTGCATTATGGTTATCTTTCACTAAATAAATATACATGTCCTTGCTGCAGATATCAACCTTGTCTCTGATAGGCTGGTAAATATATCTTTCTCGCATATCCCACTAGATTTTCCCGTAGGCCATGTAGAGATGTGCCAGATACTGCTTTGTCGGATACCGGATAATACCGGATAGTAGTCTACCGGATACCGGTCAGGAGAAAATGATGACCAGATACCGGATAATAACCGGATACCAGATAATAACCAGATACTCCCATACAATAATTTATTAGAAACACAACATTTTTATAGCTTAATTAATTAACTAGTCCAATGTGGCAATGTGTTTAATTAATACAATAACTTCAACTGTCTCTTTGACCTATTTGTCTTTACCAAGGCCATATATATCTTACGATTCACTTTACATTGTTTACTCAGCTGGTATTCAGTATATAAAATTCACTGCTGTTGGCGAACGAGCAGTTCACATCACCATCACGAAAAAAATATGTCGTAATTTCGTCGTAATGCAGCGCACGCTCAGTAATTGTTCGTGTTTCACAATTTTTAAACGCCAAGTAAACTTTTCCGTTTCATGATTGTAACAAAATATCTTACAGTATACTATCCGGTAAATATCCGGCAAATTTATACCGGATACCGGATAGTGCCGGATGTCTAAATTTTACCAGATATCGGATACCGGTATTCGGCACATCCCTAAGGCCATGTGGCGATAGATCGTGCATGACGTTGCTGCTGTATGGTGTTGAATATATCATATTAATATCCAGGACGAGATGAATTAGCCTTTCTCACGTAGGTCAAATTCGCCATTAGGGGTACTTTTTTAAAAACAACGTGAAAAACCAAAGCGATGTGAATTGTGAAACATTTTTTTCTTCAAATATTTAACTGCAAATTAACTTATTTATTATTATACTCACAATTATTGGTTATACAAATCGCTTATTCACTGCGTACAATCTCAGATTTGCAAAAGGCAGTACCCCAAAAATGGCGGCGTGATAAAGGCTAATTGGGGCCCACTTTATTATTTTATCCCGCATGTCCAACGGCAGACAATTTTACTCATCAAGTGGAGCATGACGGCGCTCAGTGGGTTAATCAGACTATCTGCCGATGTGTTTAGATAACTTATTAACAAGAAGTTTATTGCATTGCACCCTAAAGTTCTACGGTAATGTGTTATTTTTCTCGGCCTAATGCCTAGACTTGCTCCAAGTCTCTCTTTCATTGTCATATAGTATCAATCCACTATAGTGTACATTACATGACGTAGTACGGAGGGGTGGAGTGAGAAAGAGAGATTTGTCAACTTCGGAAAATCTCGGTTCAAAACTGAACCGAACATGCAAGACTTACTTTAATTGTTTTCTGTCAGTGTTTATGTGTATTGATCTAGCACATTGTAAATAACATCAGTTCCATTATAGTAAATAATACAGAAAGAAATTGAAGGAAAACAATTAAAGCAATTAAGTCTTGCTTTTTCAGTTCAGTTTTGAACCGAGATTTTCCGAAGTTGACAAGTCTCTCTTTCTCGCTCCGCCCCTCCGCACTACATCATGTAATGTTCACTATAGTGGATCGATGCTATATGACAATAAAAGAGAGACTTGGAGCAAGTCTACCTAATGCCAGGTGATTTGATTCATCAAGGGATTGTGCTGGTGCATGCTCAATGGGTTACTTGCATTATACTAATACTGTGTAACCACTGATAGGCTTCTAAGGAAACATTTTGCAAATTTCTGGGCAATAAATTTATAATACAGTATTTTTAATAATAATTTTTATGTTGGTATATCGGTATTTTTGAATTGTCAATATCACCAATACCAGTATCTAAACAAATACCGGTATACCGGATATATCCGGTATATCGATCCACTCTAATTTCTCATTTTGGCTGTGGAATGTCATTTTGGCTGTGGAATTTGTCATTTTGGCTGGGGAATTGATGTCACAAATTCTGCAGAATTTGCTATTTATGCCCGTGGAATTCCAGAATGCCTGGACAGGCTGGACTATTAATAGCAAAAAGAAAGCCAATTAAATATTCTGAGCAATTGGATCAGAGCTAGGGGTGCACAGGAACCATTTTTTTTAAATGGTAAAAATGACAACAGTACGGATTGTACAGTCACAACACTATTTCTCAAAAATTACTCAACGTCAACAAAACATTACCCTGGATTCCAGAGCATTTCAATTTATTATTTACTGTCGAAGGCTCTGGAAACCAGGGTAACAAAACATAGGTAATCTTATAATAAATAATAAGGTACAAACCAACAACTTTTGCGACCAAAACACATTCATTCCATTTGCTTTCCTTGATGGGGATAAAACTTTTTCGTAGCATCTCAAAATTCACCTCAAATTTTCATTTTTAATCGCCATCTTTGATACCGCGTCTCAAAAAGAATGGAAACGAGAGCAGTAGCTTCCACTTCCACTTTCTTCCACTATTAACAATTTTGTTTTGACACAAAATTATTCTGCAGCTGCAGATTTTACTAAATACACAATTAGTACTAGATAATCCACGAGAATTCTTGTACTGAAGCAAATGATAAAACATTCATTTTGTGTATTAGTTCTTCAACTAACCCATTGGGTCATTGGGTTGCATTGCGCCCTAACGTGCCTCAGTTATTACAACCTCGTTCCCAGGGTATTTGCTCTTGGGAAGCAAAGACCCTGGTGGACGCTGGTCACGTGATCTGCTAAAATCTAGCAGATTTTTAATTAGCGTTGTTTTGTCAATCTGGGAGGGGTGGGAATGTAGTAGTTGACATTCGCCAGATGCATTAGTGCTGTATACTTCAGTTTACATGTATTAATAAACATGATTTATGCTGTTCTAAATTCGTACTCATCATGACAAGATTTCCTGCTATATTGAATGTCATCAATAATAAGTGCTGCGGTACATTTCAAGCGAGAAGCTGGATCATATTTCACTTGCAAGGAAAAATATACTCCACACGCGCCTGGCTAGTGAGCACGCATCAGATCGCCGTATAAACATACATATCTGATATCTTCTACACCGACTGATCGATCAAACGGTATTTATATAAAACGAACGATATGATATGGTTGTTTATAGTTGAAATGTATCCTGTCCGATATTCAAAACAAAGGATTTATTTTATAACGGGATCCTTTGATTTCCCAACTGAAGTACTGAACATTCCCAACTGTGTATATAAAAACAATAGTGCTGCTTTGACTGTGAATTACAGTAAGCACAGGATTAAAACCCGTTATTCCTTTTATTTACATTGCTGAAACAGCTCAATGATCAAGAATGATATATGCCGAAGTACAGCTACAGTATACTGTTATCACACGCCAAGACTCCTCGGTGCGTGCGGTACAACTTGAATATCTAGGTCCTAGGACGATATGTGCACTAGACTAAATTATATCATATATTGCAGTAAACATTATAAATCTTATAAAGACCTTTCATTGGCATTGGTATTAATGCCCAGGCATTATTTGAAGAATAATCCAACTTAAAATCCAGCTTCTTTCGACTTGTATAATGCCGCTGTGAGTCATCAATATTTAAATCAACTTTAAGTCTTTAATATTTATCGTATTGACCCCTATACTGTGTCGTAACTGTAATTGAAATTTTAGAGGTTTCACCAAATGATACTTCGTAACTGTAAGCAAACAACCTATCTATCAGTATCAATAGAAACTTTAAAAGGCTTAATAAAACTCATTAAGTAATTCTATGAGCGAGACTTGGTGCGCATATACAGTTTATGAATTATGTATATATAAATATATATCCCTGATAAAACGTATAGGGACACTTCGTACCAGATATAATAACAAATACTTTGCTAAATCTTTTCGGATATCATTCCTTTGCATTCAGGGTGGGAGGATGAATGGCGATAGCTATAATTTATTATAGGAGATTCTGTGCAATATTTTGCCTCAACAAACAGGTAGTCGTGAAGACAAAAAAGTGCACTGTCGAGTGTCGATTCCAAACAATTTTGTCAGTCGCTTTTGATACCTCTATTTTACAAAATTTATACCGTTTCCTTTCTATATGACAACAATTCAATGGCATATTATAAGAATATTGTAAATATCTGAACCAGAGGCAGAGCCAGGACAGAAACGTACGTATGAAATGAAAATATTGCGCCCGAACCCCGAGAGAATATTAAAAACGCAAATATTTCAAACCATACGGTCATACGTTTTCGTTGCTTGATTTGCTGACTTGTCTGTTAGTACAAGAATCTGCATTTTACCATGTTTGTATAATTTAAAGGCTCATGAATAAATCCGAATTGCTTTCGCACTTATCTAGTTCTTGTATGTGTTTTGCTCATACATATGGAA